GCTCATCAGCCCTCGCAGATATCAATATACCAGCGTATTTCTTCATACATCTGAGGGTCCAGCGACCCCTTCATACTCTCCTTGTCTCCTCTGCATGCTGGTCATAGGTCCTGAATCCTGGTTCTGAGGTCTGGTCACTAGTCGATCATACCGCAGGAACATGATGTCTCCCCTCTCCCTGGCCTCCCTTAACTTCGGCATCAACTCCCTTCTTCTCTTCATCACAGCCTCGGTGTAATCTTCATTTATATAAATATTAGATCCTTTAAGCTTCTTTGCTTGTTGAGGGAGCTGCTCTGCTACATACGAAACCCTGACCCATCATTTACACTGTCACAGGTATGAATGAAGGAAAGACTGGCAGGAGGTTAGTCAGTAGCATAAGACGACATCAAAATTACCTTTCATGCTAAGCAGGTAAGCTAGGAAACAATGAATGCTGCTTGTTGTTGTTGGTTCAAACGCTCATCAGCCCTCGCAGATATCAATATACCAGTGTATTTCTTCATACATCTGGTGGAGTCAGTCATGCATGTTTGTGTGGCTATTTGTTAGGACACGGACATACTGTACAGTCCCTAAACCCAACGATCACAACTAAATGCTTAACCTCAACCCCTAACCTAACTAATTCTAACTTGAACTCCAAACCAAGCCTTAACCTTCAAACAACCCTTTGAACCTGTGACACCATCACACTACTCACCATACTGTACAAGTACACACACACACAGCAATACTGTAAATCTATTTTTAACTTTCCACTGTTGTTCCCAGCTAAGTGAACACTTAGAGTGAGCTGCGCAAAAACTCCCTCAAGTGACACTAAAATCAATAAACTAACTGCAGAACAGTGAAATGTTTGCTTTGAAACTTCCCTTCACTGACAGAAACCAGCAGCTCCAGCAAACAGGCTTGTACATTAGCAGATGAAGACACCATACATGTTCTGATAAGGTAAATACCAGAATACCATCTTCTGATTGGCTGGTTTTGTTGAACAGCATTCAACTGTTCATGGTGGACTTTGCTTTGTAGATTAACTCGATGCTGACTAGGTTCATACAAACACTCCAGCTCTGGTTGCTTATGTACACTATGGAGCATACTAGGCCTCTTATGAAACTGTCCTAACATTTGGCAGATACTTTTGTCCAGAGTGACTTGTTTTCCCCCATAATCACACACAAGGAAGTTTGGGGTTCACTCCAACAAACACCACCACACTGAACAAACCACCCACTGTACCTTCTGAGCTACAGCTACTAAATGTTGAACTGGTTGTCTATAAGAATCATTGAACACGCTGAGACAGTTTGCTTGGTGTAAACTACAACAACCGCATATATTTAGATGACATAGTTAGGTGTAGTTACCCACACATTACTGGATTACTTCCACAGCATCAGTTTCACTCTTCTGTTCTATACTTAAATCTACAATTGTACTGCAATTAAAAAAGTGTAAATAATTCAAATCTGAAAGAGAATTCTTTTCATAGACCACCTTTATAAGAGATCTCTGTAAAACAGCTGCCAGGCAAAGCAGGTTCTGACTGAACAGACTGATGGTATTTATCAGTGGCACTCAATATGAAGAGCTCAGCTTCCAGTGGAATACTGCCAGCTGTAGAAAAGTCTTTTCCTCTGGGACCTCTTATTCAAGTATGGACAGGCATGCAGACGCTCACACTGACAGAAGCATACATACACAGATGGTGATAAAGACAAACTAAGCAGATAAATGGGCATTTGGCAGTGGCACAACTTTCAGGCCAGAAGAAACAAAACAGAGCCAGTTAGTGGAAGTGTTAGATGAGGAGACACACACAGGATTATATTATAAAATACATGACTCATACTGTGCCACTACGTATTGAGAATCATATTTGAGAACAATACATTGTTTTTTGTGCAAACCCTTTACTGACACTATTGCCAAGTTTCTGTACCATAAAACAAAATCATTCTTTCAGTACTTGAGTAACAAGTATAAACTTGTTTTTCTTCCAAATCATTTTTTTGGTCAGAGTTCTTAAATGGTCAGCTTTGTCTATACAAGAGTTGGGTCTGTTGGTGGCACCTGGAAGTTGGCTCGTCCTCCTGGATCACGTTCTTCTTTATTTATTCAGGGTAGGCTCTCTGAGAGGCTTTTGCAGTAATGCTCTGATCACTTTCACACAGTTACACACATCCACACCTGGAAGCTGCCCAGTACAACCACAGATTGACCTGTGACCACTGAGCAGCTCCACTGGAGCAGTTGGGGGTTAAGGGCCTTGCTCAAGGGCACCACAGTGGTGTTAATGAGGGTGGGACGAGTGTGGTACCGTCACCTAACCCAACCATTTTTGATCCTTCTGGTCCAGGGACGGAACCAGCGACTTTCGGGCCACAAGCTCACTTCTCTAACATATCTTTATATGTTTAAATATAAGAGTTTACAAACTACTCTAAATCTATTATGTTTATTCTGTACACCTGGCATCTATTGCACGCCTGTCCATCATGGAAGAGGGCTCTCTCCTCTTTTGCTCTTTCTGAAGTTTCTTCCATTTTGTTCTCCTGCCAGAGTTTTTATTTTCCAATTTATAGAGGTCTAAGGACAGAGGGTGTCATATGTTATAAAGACTGTACCTGCATAAACGTCTAAAATGGCAATCATTTGGGTTTAAATCAGGAGCCGTCTCATGAGAGAATAACTGAACAAGAATACAAATGTGGCAAGGTATCAGATGCCAGCTTTTAGCATCCAATGGTTTTTGATAGTTTGCATTACAGATGTTTTTATTGCTACTAAAAAGTATTGAAAAGTTTGACACCCAGCCCTGGTGAGAGAAGTTCATCTTTTCTTCATAAAGTTCCCAACATTGCTAAAACTGAAAGTCTTAACAGACAATAGGTTTGGTTTGGCTGTCAGGAGTCTTATCATATTCACAATGCTATTTAACATAAAGTGTTATTGTATTCCAGACAGATGGTGCCCGATGAAAGCACCGAATGTACAAAGAGAAAAAACTAAAGCTAAAGGACAAGTACCTCGGAGTCTGTGTCACAATTTCCACCACAGGCTGCTAAAATCCTTCAAATGAAACAATCTAAGAAGGAAAAATCTTTCTCATATTCAAACTGTGGCAATAAAATGACACTGTCTTCTGATCTTCAAGGGCAACAAACCAAAATGGTCAAGGATCACTGAGTTGATACTCCTGAAGAGATGCGAGTGTCATAACAGCTTCTGACCTATATGAGGTGCTGTAAGGCAGAAGATTTGCACTCACATAATGGATGAGTTGTGTTACAGAAGACTTTTTATCCTAAATTGTCTAACTGGGCGCCAAGCCTGCGGAGCTGAAACAGTTGAGGGCTGATTTAAGGTGGGATGAAAATCAAGATCTAAAACCAGATTCAGTTGTTTTACAGAATGAATGAAATTAGAGATCAAATGTTTCCTAGGGTTATTATAAGTACAATCAGTCTTATGTGGTGAGACCACTTTGTTATCAGAAGTTTGATAACATAAAAATGCACTGGTATGTCTTGGCATGACATATACAGTACAGCTCAGTAGTTGCTATTGTTACACTCTAGCAGCTGACTTGGGGTTTTTATGCAAATCTGCCCATGCAAACACTCTTGGTTCTTATTTACAGTGTAAGCTACTGTATATTCTCTCCTCATCAACTGGACCACAGTTCAACTAAATTACAAATCTCTGGGGCTGCAGTTTCATGTGTTGGGATGGTCGGAAAGAAAGACCAGAAAAGAAGATGTGAAGAAGAGGAGCAGGTAGGTAGTCACCAGTGCCCACAGGATGCACTGGCAGCACTCCTCACCATTGAGCCAAAAACTGGAACGAGCAGGAGGAGAAGGTGGAAGTGGACTTGGACAAGGAGGAGGAGGAGGTGGAAGAACGACCAGTCAGACCTGGAATGATCTAACTGCTTAAGGTAGTAGATTTTGAGACTGGAGGAGGGAGAGTGTGTTGAGACGAAAGGGTACAGAGGAAGAAAAATGAATGTACTGGAGAAAGGAAGGAAGTGTAGATCGGTGTAGTGGAAGTATCAGGAATGACAGGAAAAATAAATGGAAGAAAACATGAAATGAA